TATGCAAGTCAACTGTTTTCCTAGTTGTCTTCAAAACACCTCGGCACAAATTCATTCTGTACCTTGGGGAACATGGTACAATCTTACGCAGAATTTCCATGCCCCATCATTCAAAATAATCTTTCTGTTCACACAAACGGGATAAAACATTATTGTAAGCACAGACCAAATTCTTTCTTCAGGTTCCCTTTGCAATAAACTTCGTTTAAGCCACTCGGTTGACACTTTTCAGTTTTGAGCATACTTTTCCAGTAAAGTCCTTTGAAATATTTCATGAGTTGAATACACACACACTCTGGAGCGGTTCTGACCTTCTTGGCCTCATCAGATGTCAGGTATATTAAACAAATATATTTAGCTTTACCAGTTTCCTTGTTTTTTCCAAAGTACTGACAGTTCATATTTGTATCGTTGGCCAATATGGTGGTAGACAAACATTATTTTATTTGGTGTTGCAACGTGAAACAGAAGTAGATGCTTTTATTGAGCAACGGCGCCTTGAGACATGAGTGGAAGTCACCTTACAAATAAATGTTAATTATTTAAAAGTAAAAATGTAAAGTCGTAGCCCTACATTTTCTCAATCGCACCAATGCTGGTGGGACTCGACTACAGGGAGGTCGAGCGTCCTTCTCGAGGGTGTTTTGGCCTACTCTTCCACGCTGGCTACGCCTCTTGGAAGAGGTGGAAAGCCCCCACACTTTACACCAAGGCCATAATTATAATATATATTGGGGGGGGGGACACACACATCCCCCCCCCCCCAATATTCAAATATGCTCAAAATGTCCCCCCAATATATTGCTATAAAATAGATTTATGTTTATATGATTGTGGTTATGGTTGTACTTTATTAATCCCTAATCTCTGCCATTACATACAATGAAACAAGAAAAGACAAAAAAGAAAAAAACAGAGCAATGTAATACAGTACACTTTTAGACATTATTGTAAAAAAATACATTAAAAGTCCATTCTATGTGTTAGTGAATTTTTTTATATTTTAGGCAAGAAATTCGTTTTCAAATTTAAATGTTTTTCTAGGTGGGGGACCCCCAGACCCCCTGGAAGATTTGGTCTCCCCCAATGTTGACTCCATGGCTACGGCCTTGCTTTACACCACCTTACCAGGCCTGACGACTAACTGTGGTGGACCCATTTGTACTGCTGGGTGGACAGCGGTGGGCGATTTAGGAACCATGCCCATTATATCAACTGCCACGTGGTGAGAGCTGATGACCTCAGGGATAGCAAGTCCATTGCTAAACATCACACACAGCAGCAGCAACCCACAGGTACTCATATTGACCGTGCACTTATTATAAGACCAAGATAAAGAGTCCATCATGGGCACTGCATTCAAGTCCACCGAATATCACTTCCTTCCTGATTCCAGATCAAGCATTGTTAGTAATCGACAACTCGACTTTCAAGGTATTTTCCAACAATCAGTCGGTCAACAATATCGCACCAAAGGTCAATTGTTTGGCAAGCCATCGAACAAAGACGGTCACCGCATCACGCGCTTTCAGATGCGCGCTTCGGTGGCATTCCAGAACGCTCTTCCTTCCGATGTTAGGAAGGCACTGGAGCCATGCACTTTTAAATATAGATTTAAAAGTCATTTATTTAGAACTGCTTTTTGCGTTGTTTGTTGTCAGTCCCCCGCACCTCCGAATATCACGGTTGGCTACGTACGGTGCAAACGAAGTTCAAAATGCGTACATAAAGTACTTTGTTAGTCCCGATTACATCTCCAAATCACATTATGTAAATGCAGTAGGTTAATCTATAATAAAAAAACATAAACATATTTGAAATATCAAATTGAAGCCATAACGAATGCAAGGCTCTGTGAGAAAGAGCACAAAAATTGAAGGCATAAAACCAATACTAAAATTATGTTTTATGACACAATTTATTCAACTATACAAAAGGTTAAATTTTAACAAGAACAGAAATCAACCCCTGACAGTTTTAGAGCTTTGGTGACTGGCCACAAACAATTTGGTCGCTCAGTCGAAGCTATCCGCTGCCTTTTGTTTGCCTGGACTCGACAAAATGTGGCTCCTGGTTCCGATGGAGGAAAGTAACTCCTGCGGTCACTAAACATCATTGTGCGCCTTCGGTAATGCGAGGCATTCGCACAATAACGAGACCAAGTTATACGTGAGCTGAGATTGAGCACTCATAAAACATTGCATGAGATATTTTTTTATATAATGTATTTTATGAATTAAGTATATCCAAGCACTCCAGGATCTTGGACGATGTAGTTTTCAACACGTTTTACATCGTAAAACATATATCTTAATGTTAATCTCCAAGATTTAAAAATATATATATCAATCGAGCTTAACTTTAACACGCAGACTTTATATAACACACATTTTACTTATGCTATTTAACCCAAAAATGTATTTAATCAAAAATCACAATTTTTGGCGGAAAATTTGATTTAATTATGAAGGTGCCTGGTGAATTGTGTTGCTATATGTGACGATCTAGATCGCTCCTGCGTGGAATTGTAAGCTCTGCAGAATCACGAGCTTATTGAACATTGCTGCGCTTGAAATGCAGAAACATCTACGTCAAAGTGCTTTACCAAATACAAGTCTATGTTCATAAGATTCTAAGATGAAAAGGCAAATGGTCCCTTGTATTTATTCGGCACTTATTGATGTGTAGTGTATTTCACGGAGAAACACATTAGAACTTAAAGGCCACACGTTTATTAAAACGCCCCAACAGAGTGACTGCATAAACGTACCACTCGGTTAACTAAACCACAACGGGGTAAATAGATAACCGGGTCGGTCAGTAACACACTGCCTGACCCACGATGCCGAGTGTAAAGACCAAAGACCGAAGATCGAAGAGACGTAGCCACCGACGGGTTCCATTCCAACAGACAGCCGCGATCGCTCTCGGGACTTCCCTTTTATGCTCCCGAGCGTGGCATCACTCCGCCTTCGGCCAGAAGGTTCTAGATTTGAAGCTTTCGTGACTGCAAGGATTCATACTCTTAGTTCTTTCGGTAAAGTCACGTAGGTAAAAAATGAAATTAAAATTTATAAAAAATGAAATAAAAATCACGACGTTTCGGAGGCAACACAAGTCTCAGGTGGGACCATCACAGCCAGATTTGCTGCATCAAGTGAGGCAGGGACTCAAGATGCAAGCCCTTAAATACAAGATGAGGGGGGGGGGAGATTATCAGAATGTGGTAGCCAATGAATGGAACGTATCGGGAGGGGGGGCGGGGCTAAAAGAAGGCACGGTTCTGGACTAAGCATCACGTGTCCCTTGAGCCCCCTTTTGGGCCCTCTCGCTGCCCTGTCCCGGTTACGCGCCCACTCGGGTTCACCCAGACTGTCACGTCCTTACTTGCCTTCTCTCAGACCTCACCAGAACCATGCCCCTTAGGGCCCGCTTCCATGCCATACCCACTCTGGTGCCAGAGATAGGCTCAAGCCGTACACTCTTGTGATATTAGCTGGCACTAAAAAACCGTAGTGACTCCATTTACGTGACTACAGATGTATAAATAGCCACATCCAAGTTTATAAAATAATGTACGTTCCATAAACATTCAAACTTAAAATCTTGGCTTATACCATTTTACCAACGTTATTTTAACACAAAATAATGGGCAAGTAAAACAAACTACAGGTTTCCCTCACTTTATACGGGTTCGGTTTGTGCGAATATGTATATACGCCAAACATATTTCTACTCACACTTTGCTCTATGCGGGTTGAATTCACCGCTATGCGGCTGGACTTGGGGCGTTATTGGACGCGCTACTCGGCAGGCAGCGGTCTTCATGCGCTTTCGTTTTGTGCGCCATTTTTTGGAACACATCTACCACATAAATGTACGTTGAACTTCTTTCGCGCCGTACGTAGCCAACCATGCTAATCGGAGGTGCAGAGAAAACCTGAATTAATAATCCTTTAATAGTATGCACAGGTAATACATTCATTGTGTTTAAACTTCAAACCTAAATTGCATTATTGCCAACAGTCAAGCTAGTATTACAATGAACTGTAATTTTAATATACCAAGATAAAGTGAAATGGAGCTGAATTTAGAAGTGGAGTCTTGAAGATTAAAAACATATGGATCTCAGTTCCACTAGCGTAAATTGTATTTGATGAACGTCATCTGAGTCCCAATAAAACGATATTACAGCGCATTGGCTCCTGACGATGAAAACGATCCCAGGCATGATACAACACTGCATGAACTCTAACTGCACGCATGTCGCCTTGATCTTCTGAGAAACTGTACTCCAACAGCAGTTAAGTGGCCTAACTGTACACGTATGTACAATATCTCTTATTGCTACGCCAATGCGTCGCATATCAGTCTCGCTGTGGACTGAGGTATAGACGGATATGTGACCGTGTACAGAATGTTACAGTTATACCATGCACAAATGGGTTACTTGACAAACTCACGAAACAAACAGCTTTAACCGTGGGGAAATTGCTTTACTGCATATTAAGATCACATTCTTGGTGAACATCGATAACATGTCAGTTACACAGAGCAGAAATGTTGCAATTGTTCCGGGCGGATATTTGCCGTTGTACTGTATTATTTCAAAACTTGTATATCTCATAGCTGAGACGAATTAACTGATCACTATGCACTTAAAATCCTTAGGCACGTTAACACCTGTGTGACAAATATCAGATCATCACATGTCAAGTCATAACACACAGAGATTTGTTTGTATACAGTTTAACACCGTTCATAATCAACGTTTTTGGGTTTAGATCGCGTTATTTATAAATGTGTCGTAACCCTCCACCACCCGACACGGCCAATCAGTAAAAAAGTGTCACGTTGACAAAAGACAAATAGTTCACTGCTTTAGCCCACCGGTGTGTTGAAGCCACAACATTTACACACCGGTGGGCTAAAGCAGTGAACTATTTGTCTTTTGTCAACGTGACACTTTTTTACTGATTGGCCGTGTCGGGTGGTGGAGGGTTACGACACATTTATAAATAACGCAATCTAAACCCAAAAACGTTGATTATGAATAACATTGGTCGCGAAACCTACGTGTTAAACAGATTAATACCGTGTTGAGATTACACGTGTTACACAATAGCAATGGCTTCGTGGGTGACGCTAAAAAAGCTATCACACGTTTCAGGTAACAAAAAAGGCATAAATGGCATATCTGGCCTTCAATTGTTGACTCCATGTGCAAACTCTATTTTCTGATCATTCGAGGCTGCAAGGTGGACGGAAGACAGCGATACACCAATGGATAATTGCGCACATCTCTTGAGTGTTGCAGAATCCTCAGGATTCCTTCCACACTTATTAAAAAAACGCTTATAAATGGCAATGACAAACATCCCAGTGCAGGCCCCTCCTGAAAAAAAAGTTTTCAGACTCAAGGACACCTTGCTGGGCAAATCATTGGCATTATTAGAATACACAACTGACTCTTCCGATGTTAACTTGCAGAGTTTGAGTATATTCTAAGATCTGCACAAGGTGCATCTAAGTCTTCCATTCATTTAAAACATATATGAGTAATTGGTCGAACAAATAAATCCAAGACCCGAATGAACCTTGTAGTGAGGCTTTCCTGGGTTAACAATTCAGATTATGATGGTCAATAGCTGTCCAAAGTGTTTTTGGTTTGTACTCTGTGTTTCATGGCCAAATGTCCAATGTTTTACTCCATCTGCTGGAACCGAATTCTGGAATAAGCTCCCTTGCACATGGAGCGAAATGTCGGACACGCTTAAAAACACAAGGTACAACCCGAATACACATCCGGCGGCAACACAGCACAACCGTGAAAACCTCCGTAGTATAAAACATATGTATGAAATTTATGGTCAGGTATAACAAATATTTTCATTCCATGGGGTGGCTGAATATGACCGCGTCCCTCTTACAGGACGCGACTGTGGGTTGTGAGGTCAAAGACGACCTTGCGAAATTGAAAGCGTTTTTACAAACCAGAGAGGTTAAAACAGACGCGTGCCTCGCGATGCAAGGCTGGCCGTGATGAGGGCCATTGCTCACACTGCCAATACCCTCCAGTCTGTACCATACTAAAAAAAGAAATGAGCGCTTGCGTGAAAACGCGTGGCCTGAAAAACTTTACTATCAGAGAACACGACACAACAGGTTGAACTGGCTGCCACTTGCCAGTTGTACTTTGGCGTTGGCAAGTGCACCCCACAGCGTCAACATTGAGAGCAACCAACAGAGAATTCAGCAGCATACACTGAACACACAGTGGGGTGATGGGTCCCTCCGCAAGTGGCAGAATAATTGCGCAAGACCACCTCTGGCAACAAAATGCAAGGGGGCATATCTCCTGAGACACCGGTTTAGATGGCGTGGAAATGTGGTGAAAAATGTTGACATTTGTCATGTATTTCTACAAAATCAACTTCACAACTTCAGATGCATCTGCCTTGGGTGCAGAACCTGTTGTGAATTACACACGATGAGTGATGATAATTAATCTTTATATGCTTACGAGATAACTGTATTCGGTCATCATTCGTAAGTTAACATTAATGTACAATGGGTGTAAAGTATCATTCCCCTCCCATCCTTTTGGTATGATGAATTCATAATATATTATGTTTACGTTACAGTGCATTGTAGCACCTCTAGTGGTTGTGATCGATCACGGAGCATAACGATTGACAAGTCGACCGAAAAGCACGATTCCATACACGTATAGTGAGCATGAGAATCTATTTTATGTATGTATGTTGAACTTCTTTTGCACCATATGTAGCCAACCGTGCTAATCGGAGGTGCGGGGGGGAAGGACAACGAACTAAACACAGAAAGCAGTTCTGAAGAAATTAGTTTTCAATTTATATTTACAGTGCAGAGCTCCAGTGGTTTCCTAATATTGGAAGGAAGTGTTCCAGACGGCCGCAGAAGCGCATCCAATCGATGAGAGGATGCAAAGCTAAACCCGCATACACTAGAAGTCCAAGCTGCCTGGCAGCACCAGCTACTGCTGCTGAGAGGCTGTGATTCTTCGTCACCAAGTGTTAACATCACATTTATCCCCTCCTACTTAAGACCGAAACAGGATTTGTCCACAATTATGGCTGTCACCTGATAATGCTAGTTGCAATTACCGGCCAAACGTCGTACTGGAATTGTAAATGTTGTGGGTTTAATCTACAAAATACCGGTGTGCTGAACGAGTAACTAATCGGCATGTTTTGTTTATGTAACAAACCGTACGAGTTGGTTGTGTCGGGTGGTGGCGGGTTTAACAACACATTTATATTTACGCGATCTAACCCAAAAAAAAAACTCTATTAAGAGGTCAGTTATACAGTTTTAGAAGTGGATCATCCAGCTCATGGGAGGATTTGTTAAATTCAGTGGTGAACTTTTTGCAGAACAAGACAGCTCAAGCCCTGCCCCTGGAATTTTAGAGTAACTCCTTTGGAAGTTCACATTAACATGTGATCGACGACTTCCTTCACAACCAGTCTAAGTAGGTTAACAGAATAAAATGTGATCAGGAAACTTTTACCAAACATAAACACAATTTAGAGGGCAGTGTAGTTAGTGATACTATGTGAAATTTATATTAGATATGCAAGACATTCCAGTAAGTTTGTATTTACTTGCTCTATATTATTGTAAATCGATGCTAGTAAAGGTGGATATTTTTCACATATATAATGGCGCATTTACCACCTTTCCACCAGTTCCTTTATATTCAGTATACACGTAACGACTTCCCATCCCTCTCCAAGTGATTATGATTCAGAAGGTGCACGGGGGAAGGACAACAAAATAGAGGTTTGCGTTTGGGTTAGGTCGTGTAAATATATAAATGTGTCGTTAAAACCCACCACCACCCGACACAGCCAACTAGTAAGGGTTGTCACGTAAACAGAACGTGGCCAAGCCACAACATTTACAATTGGCTCTCCAACACACCGGTGTGCTGTACTAGTGACGAATTGGCCACGTTCTGTTTACGTGACAACCCTTACTAGTTGGCTGTGTCGGGTGGTGGCGGGTTTTAACGACCCATTTATACATTTACGCGATCTAACCCAAAACAATCTCTATCATGCATATTGGTCACGAAAGTGAACGTGTTAAACGAAGGATAACAAACTATACGCAATGGCCACTTGGCTACCGTGTGAATTAAAGGATGGCACAACAGCAGCACTTGGCAGGGTAGTTTGGTGCGTACACCTTCTTCTCAGTGCCATACACAAAGTAGTCGTAGCTGACCCCCTTCCAGTCGTACACGACCTTCGTCAGTGGGATGAGGTCCACCCTGTGTCGCTGCCAGAACAAAGACAATCAGAATCAGAAAATGTATTTATACTGTAGGAGGAATCCGATGAGCTATAAAGCTCTTTTCACAGATGTTCAGTAGGGGCACGGGGTAAGAACGTTACAACAAGAAACAATGCAAAAACACGATGGTGGTATAGCCTTAACAGACACAGGCATTCACAGGCATGGTGAAAATTCAGTATACAGGAGCAAACCAGTCCTCTAAAAAGGTAAAATCTCAGTGCCATAATTTTCAACCAGAAAGACCTCCACAAGCCATCGCCATCTCCTTCGACCATGCTGGAGCATTGAGCCATTGCTGTCACGATGTATACAATTAAACCGCTTGGTAATGATTGAAGGAAATTGTTCTCGACAACCACTACAGGCTTCCCACAAAAGTGGCACATATTTAGTCCAACCTGAAGGACGGATGGGTCGAGTGGAACCACGACTAATATTTTAACTCAAGCCCTTCTTGGTTGTAAGCCACACCTGGCCAGATTCCCAACCCGCGGCCCCCATGGTAAACAAAAATAACTTCCACTCATGCAAAACTGCTGCACTGTAGACATTTGCCAAATAGCCTTACTGTGGCCAAGCATTCATTGGAATCTGTGAGCTCTGCCGACTGGTCCCACTGTGCCCATGGTAAAGAGAAATCGCTACGGCATGCGGGGTCTCGGAGGCTTAAATTGGCCGCGCCAGCGTTTTCTCCGAGGCTTTTTCTTGCTGCTGATTTTTGAAATGCGCAGATTCCAAAAAAAACAACAACTCAGTGCTACGGGCGCAAAACTGAATCGAATTACATGCATTGGCCATCGCTCCCCCCCCCCCCCCCCCCCCCCGCATGCAACCACCAGCGGCCGATTGCTCACAGCTGTAAAGTTCCTGTGGTTCTGTGGGTCTCCTCTGGTGAGCGATGGCCGAGAAGTCACACGTGGTTCCTGCGCGTAACGCAGGCAGCTATTTTTAATCCATTAACCCGACGCAGCTGTCTTGCAACGTTAGGGAGTTAAAAAATTTAGGTGCAGCAGATTTTGTAAACGTAAAAATAACATTGTCCAGTATATTTTTTTCAGCAGGTCAACACGAGTGGTCTTTGTCAATGACTTTTTCCTCGGGTTGTGGTGGTAATCTATAACTTGTTGCTTTCCTCTGTCACAGGAAAAAAAAACCTATAAATGTGCACATATAAGTGGCAATATCATACGTACTGTTTCTGTTTTTTTATATATATATGCATGGCGGTCGCCCATCCAGCCGATGCTCAACCCTTGCTTAGCTGCCAAGATCTGATGGGTGTATTCCGGGCGATTTGTTTGCAGGCAAAATGAACACAAACGGATCCATCAATTGTCTTCTTCAACGTCATGAAGAGCATAATTAACCCCCCAGGACCGACATGTCAGCGGTAAGGCGACCCTCATCTATATTTGAAGCTTTCGTGACTGCAAGGATTCATATTCTTAAGTTTTTTCGGTAAAGTCACGTACGTAAAAAATTTAAATTAATAAAAAGTAAAATAAAAATATTAATTAAATTTTTTTATCTACGTGACTTTAAAATTAATACGTGAATTTAAAATTAATAAAAAGTAAAATAAAAATATAAATTTGTATTTTTTATCTACGTGACTTTACCGAAAAAACCTAAGAATATCAACCCTCATCTAGCAATGGGCTGAGAATCGTCACTCGGGCTCAGCCGAGTGACGGCCTTCGTGTCGTGTGACAAAGCTGCACATCCACCTCCAGCCCCACCAACTCTGAACACCCACCCCCCCCCGACAGAACTGGAATCCCGAGCGCAGTCGTTGGGGAGTGCGGTACCTGGCGGATGATGCGGCAGGTGCGGAACTTGGTCTGCATCTCGGCAATGGCATTCTGCGAGGCCTGCGTTATCCCAGGGTCTGGGAATCCTATCAAGGGCCACAGCTGTCGAAAAAACACAAACGTGCCCACATTACATTGTGTGCTCGTGAAAACAACATATACGGTTACGCGTGTTTTGATATCCAGCGTTTATGCTGCGATTCCTCGATTGGCTCTCATTTCCGAGGGCATTTCAATCCGCACCTGTGCAGTCATGAAGATAAGGGTATTTAATACGTGGGACACAAGCTACACACTCAAAGCTTGAAACAGACGCATCATTTCTCACGCCTGAAAATGGGAAGTGCTCACAGTTGACAGTCGGGAACGCCTACTGATGTGGCAAAATGTAAATAGTGCTTTGTGACAAGAAACTTTGTGCATCTGCTCTGAGCGATGGGTGGAAAACCCTGCCGAGAGTGGTGAATGGACTGCGTTACAGGGTTAGAGAGTAATGACCAAGGAATAAAGAGACACTCAGTAGTTATACAGCAGTGCTTTATGAAATGCCAGGGCCTAGGTCTTGCTGTGGTGCATCTATGTCTGTCCATTAACAGGCCGTGAAGGTGCAAACGGTGTGACATGCGCTGCATTTGTATTTATATTTATTTCTAGGACTACTGGGAATTGTGCTAGCTTGGGTCTCATAACCAGCTCCCTAGACAAACTTGTCTTCTCGAAGTAGTCTAAACCAACTCAATGTCTACAATCAAATCACCTATCTGACCAAGTCACCCTAGATGTGCCCAATTCTGTTTGAACTTTGAAAACTAAGCATGGTTGAGCCTGGTTTGTGTAGGACTGCGAGGTGGCCAAAAGATAGCAGTGATGATGAGTGTTACCCGCTAGTACGCATTTACTTTCTCCGAGCACTCTGATTTAGTCACGCATACCAATCACGCATCAATGGTATTCACCAAACATCCCAAAGGATGACCCTTCTGAAAAAATCGTCTTGAGACCGATTGGGGACTTTCTAGGTAAGTAAAAATAATTATCACTTCCTGACCCCACACGCACTTCCCACCAATGAGGGTTGGGAAAACGGGAGGAAGGTATGGGGCTACACCACAGACAGTGGTGTAGCTATTCAGCGCACATGCAGTTAACTGCTTTGAGTCGCACGGGCAGGAGAGGTGTAAAACACGGGCTAAGAAAAGGAGAAAAGAATTTGAGATGGTGGGCATTTCAATCCTTGCACCACAGTCAATGCCAACCGTGCTACACCACTTTTTGCGGAGCCTAGTGGCTCAGGGAATCTGGAGAATGCGACATGGGCCTTGGTGCTGCTCCTCTGACACAGAACTGGGCTGCTAACAGCTTGGTTCCCAGTGGCTGTGGAAACGTGGCAACAGAGCGGAGTGACTCTCACCAACGGCTGTTCGTCCACAAAGAGTTGCTGCCCATTGGCTTCCTTGAAGAGTTTTGTTGGAAACCCAGTCTGCTCATCGGCCACGTATTCATAAAGCTCATTTTTCCTGTTCACGCCAAACAGGAGGGGAGAAGTGGGGTGATATTAAAACACAAATCCATTCATCGCAGAAAATGACTGAACTCCAAAGCCAATCTAAACAAACTACACAAAAGCAGGTTTGTGTTCCTTAGCAATATATATTTAAAAGAATAGAAACTTAAAAAAAAAACACAAGAGCAGTCCTTGTATTTTCATACGAACAAAAATGCAATGTATAATGTTTACATTTAAATAATTACAGGTATTGAATTGTTTTTTTTCCCTCCACTGAAAACATTCCTTTGCAATTAAATTAATGGTAGGTAACAATAAATCAGCAGCGTTGGAGTGCAAACAAAAATAATTGGTTGTCGAGCGGAAATATGCGGTGCCAATGCCGAGACAAAACCACTTCACTATTATTTTCTGCTTGACCTAAGCTGAGCAGGCATCTGGCACCAATCGACAGGTCAAGCAGATGCTGCTTTACCTTCCTGGAATTTAACTTCTGCAAGTAGAACACTTCATTATTTGGTTTACAAAATAAGTTTACCCGCCAGCAGCAATAGTGGTGCTCAAATGATAATCAGATTGACATTTATACAAAGCTGTAGGGGGTTAAGGACTCACCTCCTTAGCTATTTAACGAGTTATTCCGATGCAGGGTCACGGTCTGATTCAAGAACAATCATATTTGATGTTCCGGTAAATGGTAGCACCTACAACTGGCTATAGCGTCAACATCAACCTATTACACACAACATACACACATCTAAAAAAAGTGGATTCTTGCACGATTTGACGCACGTATTATGAGCTTAAGAATCGACATCAATTGATTAATCGTTCCATCACTTAAACAGCAGCATCATCTGGCTTCAACGAAGTGACCCGCTCAGGCCGATGTCCGATTGTGGTTAAAAACACTAAACATACTGCATCGACTACTTGGCAAGAGGTCTCACTGCCTTCTCTGCACGCTCCTTCACTGCCAAGGCCTAGGAATGCAATGTTGTTAATTTAGTTCCAACGGTTTCTCGGCCAGTCCTTGAAACTGCCCGAGGGTTACACATGAGAGGTTGAGTTGAGTTTAGCGGTCTTACCACTTGACAGTGAGCGAGATGAAGAACTTGAGCTGGCCCTTCCCTACGCAGGTGTGGCAGGAGCACTGGCCACTTCCGCTGCAAGTCATGCACCTGTGGACCATAATCATCACTGTCGTCAATCTCAACGTGGTCGTCATCGTATCATCATCATCTGGCTTTTCCTTGATTTTATAGTCATGGGCTTCTGTCTCTATGTAGACAGTGTGAGTTATGCATGGGACTGTTGTTTTTTCCGTTATCGTTGTCCTTAACTCTGGATCTTTGTGTCCTGTTACTTGAAAATGTGCTCTCCAGAATTGGCTTGCTACTTTCTCTGGTTTCAATGGTTTGAATTTTTTCATAGTGATTTTTTAAAATAACTTTAGAATATAAAACTAAGATGAATAGCATCATGAGCTTTACCCAGAAATAACGGATTAGGAAAATGTATAGAATGGGCCACTCCACCCTTGAGAGAGCCCAGTATTTAAGCGCTATAGAAATGCATTTATTGTCCTATATCACTGTCCCGCAACAGCCTACAACACCTGTTTTTAATTATGGTAGTCACTCATCCATGGTTGTTGTGGGCAGCAGCAGATAGTTCAGCAGATACTACTGTTGTACTATGTTGGTACATCTCTACTCCCCAACTTCACCAACAAACACTGACCAACGTTACGTATTATGAACTAACTCCCACGACCGCATGGCTTCATCCAGCAGTGGACTGACAAAAGTCCTGTACAATTACATCCATTGTCCATTCTAGATTCACATGTCCATGGAAGCCACCTGAATTTTTAATCACAGATGCTCAAGACGTTGTCTGCAGAAAGTGTCAAATGTACTATTCACTCATTTTTCCCCTGACAATGCAACCACAGTGGGAGAATCACAGAATGTAAATACAGAAAAAAGGCAGTGCTGCAATATATTTGAGGTCCGTGGCAACAGTGGTTTATAGATTGGCCGTACATCAAATGAATTTTGTGCAGCATCTGCACACAGAATGTTTTAAATCTTGTCAAGCCACCTGCTGTAAATTAACGCGTTGCAAAAACCCAAAGCGTTTTCATTTTTTAAGCCATGAGTTTCCATTTATCTTTTAACCTGGCCTCTAGCTGCAAAAAAAGTCTATGGCAAGAGGATGATCAAACAAATTCCCCTTTGCTGGCACCGATTACATCTGAAGCACATTCAGCCCATAAAATAGAAAAAAAACACACGCACAAAGTAAAGCCCTCTGCCAACAAAAAAACTTTGATGGGAAATCAGATTGTATAAATCATGAACAAATTTTACATTGGGCTTACAACAAAGATTTGGGTTCTACCTAAACATTACATTTAGTCATCATTATTCTACTGCCCTTTATCAACTGCTGGATGAAGCCTTGCCAACATCCTGTTAGTCACTGGGGTTATTGGACGATGCTTCACCACGGTGGTCAGTGCAGGTTGGTGAAGGAGGGGGCCCAGGACCAGTTCATATATTACTCAGCATTGATGTTAGCCGTGGCAATTAATTAAAATGAGGTATCTGGGATCATAGCGCAGTGTACTAACCCCTATCGGTATTATTATTCATTTAAACACGGCAGGCACACAGTCTCAAGACTCTTTGCAGTTATGTCCTATTTGTAAAGGTGACGTTTGGCCAATTCACCTTTGAGTATCTTTGTTTGTGAACTGCACTCCGAGGAAATAGCGAAGTGGACAAGAAAAGCATATAGATATGGTAACACAAAGTAGTGACCTCTCCAAAGCCACACCAGCAGTAAACAAATCCGCACATCTCATGGCAGATCTGCCCACTACATTTAAAGGCCAGCATGCGATTAACGGAACAGCGGCTGGACCACGAACAGCATAGCAGTAAACTGGTGAACTAAAAAAATCCGATGGAGGCATCAAATAGATTGAACGACACACAATAAGCGTGCATTGCACGTACAAAGGTCTCTTAGCCTTATCCAGACCATCGGCTCAGAAGAACTGAATACATTCCCATTATTTTGTCATTTAGACCACCAACTCACAGAGTTCAGAAAAGAGACCATGCCAACAGGCAGCAATGCAACAGATACAACCGTAGATCAGGTTTTGTCCTCAATAGGACTCATCAGCACAGTTCAGTTATCGTTCACTGCTGCCATGTGCCGCAGGGAGCTCCGTATATGGAGAGGACTTTAAAGCAATCCATTGTGAATCAACCGAAGCAAATACTGTGGACATCGACTCAAGCTAAGTTGCAATTCAGCAAGGCGTACACAAAGAAGTTGCGGGCAAGTCTCACCTTGTTAAGCCCTGCCCACTGCAATGGGTGCACATCTCATCTCCCATTCTGCGCCCACTCCCGTTGCAATGCCAGCAAGTCACCTTAAGAGAACACATTTTGTTTATTTCAACCACATGTGCTGAGGACTTAGGGAGAGGGGAAAAATGAGACCTTAAAGGCACCCAAAAAAAGTGTTGGAACTAATTTTGTTTTAGGCGATGTTATATAATTCCCAATGGCAACATAAAATAAAACACAAGTGTAATACACAAACCATTAAAACTGCCACAAGGTTAATTTTTATTTCTAAAAAAGATTTTGGATGGTATTGTTAGAATTTAGATTAATCAGTATTTAAAACAGGTCCTGTTTGTGAGCAAACATTTGCTTTTGGCTCATGTCAATATTTAATTAGCAAATATGTGCAGGCAAACCGAATCTAAATGGTGGCAAAGGAAACGAATCTAATTGATGTCTCTGCAGAGTTTAATAATTTGTGCCTCGACCTTCCTCCTCCCTGGTTATTTGATGACTGTCACATTGCAGGGTCACGATTCGACTCTTTTTAAATCCTTTATGTTAAGTTCGCTTGCTTGCTTGCGCGCTTACGACCGTACAAATCTTTCGGTGGGTTTTTATTTATTTAAATCCTTTATATTAAGTTTGCTTGCTTACTTGCTTGCGCGCTTACGACCGTGCAAATCTTTCGATCGTTTTTTAACCCACTTCCAGTGATCCAATCGAGCTGACATTTTCCACACAGACTCGTTGTGCGTGACAATAAATTTTCGTGAAAATTTTTTTGCAAAATGTTACACTTTTTAGGTAAAAAAAAATTAGATTTAATTACCAATTGCTTAATGCTGCCAGGCAATCATCTGACCCATAGGTGGTAGCCATCTCAAGCCAGAGGACGAGAGAACTCTAGCTGCCACGCATGTAAAGGATTTATAGTGAAAAACTTTGTTTTTACGGGTTAATTTTTTTTGTTAACACTGCCGAGTTTAACGGCCTCCCGTAGCTGCAGCGGTCAGCTGAACCCGCTCTATAAAGCATATGAATTGGAAAACACCGATTCTCACAAACGTTATACGATGCACGTATCGTTAGTGAAGAGATAGTCACATTCGACGTATGCTTCGAAATGCCTGTCGTGCCAATGTACAAAGACTGGAGTAATGATTTTAAGCGTAAACTCCAAAGTAAAACTCTAATGTATGCTTTATAAAAAATGTGCTTTGTTCCTTCACGCTAAACTATAAGTCAAATGTTAACAAAAATACTGAGAAAATAATTAACGTTAAGGAATGCCGGAGTAAATGCCCTTCTACAAATTCCAGAGAGAAAATTGCAAAATTTATAGTTAGTGTAAATCACACTTCGCTCACATCCATTTGAAAATAATAATCGTAGCCAATTAATGGGGAATGTAAATAGAACTAGATATATATACACACACACAAGCGTCTCAATGCAATGACTGTTCACATATTTTTCTAGATGTTTTTTTTTTTGTAAACGGAAGCAACGTATTCCATCACTATTATGAAATCCAAACACACCATATTTGTTCAAATACTTTTCTTCGTGCAACTTCAAATTGCGTTCACACATACTGCCTGATGGGCATCACAACTTAAAAATGCGATTTCCGCACATTTTTTTTCATAGATTTGTGGCCAAACCAAGAAATGCTAACAAATTGGGACAGATGAGAAGCTTAAGACCGAGCATGCAACTTACTCTTCCAAGGGCTGTACACTTTGAGCACGGCTTGCGTGCCATGCCAAGGCAGTCGTTGCAAGGCTGCAACGGAAGAAAACAAAGCGAGTCAGCGATGCTACAACCAAAACACAAAAACAAAGTCGATTGATGTGCGCATTCCCAAAGCGTTTCCTCAAACGTTTAGTCGAGTGGCGCGATGGTAGCTGGTGGCGTTATCCAAAGGAAACTGTGAGATGGTGTAGCACCTCCGATGTGTTTTTCGGTTGTACCGCGTGCTGTTCGGCACGATGTCCGACTGTATGAAGCACCTCACATGCTCTCTTGATTACATGAAGTTACTAGCTGCTGCTGCCAGTACAGAGGGCGCCACAGTGGCAAGATGTTAACTACCTCGCCTGGTATTCAGGAGGTTGTGGGTTCGATCCTGACCCTGATGCCTGTATAATTTGGAGTTTGCGTGTTCTCCCCGTGGTAGCGTGGATTTGTCTCCGGATCCTCCGGATTTCCCTCCACGTTTAGAAACATGCGAGAAGAGTATTTGGCTCCTATAAATTTCCACGTAATAAGCCACTTCGTTGGGCTATCATTTGTGGCCAGGTCGTTTCTGGTAAAATAAAAAAATAGTTTATATAATATGATGTAGGCCATCTAATGTTTATTTATTGTGTAGGGCTATGGTAGTCAATGTATTTATTAATTTATTATATGAAACGGCAGCAGCAAGAAACTTTATAGAATCAACGGAGAATGTGAGCTGCTTCCTTCAGTTTTCTGAAGCAGCTCCCGGCATGTGAAGCAAAACGTTGGACATCGTGTTGAACAGTGTGCGGTAAGATCCAAAATGCATCAGAGCGCTATGCAGCACAAGCGCAAAAACCTTTTAGATGTATATGGATATATACTGCATCTGGCATGAATGCATTTTAATCTTGACTTAAAGCTTTCGTAACTTGCAGGAATTCATGTTCTTTGGGTCTTTCGGTAAAGTCACGTAGATACGTGACTTTAGACACGTGACTTTACCGAAAGAACCAAACAATATGTATTTTAATCATTCCAGAGTTTTGCAAGATATACATTTTTAAAAATGTTAGAGGCACACATCTACTTCACAAAGAGAACTGAGAGGGGAGTAAAAGGAATTTGAAACACGCTGGGTGCCTATTTAAATAACAGCTCTTAACACTGACGTGATAAAAAAAAAAAACTGCTGACTAGGAACTCAGGAAAATCCTCATTATGTAGAGTTTGAGGCAAAAAAAAGAACTGGACACGTGTGTGTTTAAAACTGAGTTCACCAATGACAAACTTAAATTGCCTTCGCAGGGCTGACGGGCAGGAATGCCGTACAATATATGAAACAAATAAGTTAAGAGGAATTCACTGCTGAATGTTTTCAAGAACAAATTGGCCTATCTTAAATCATAAGCAAACGCACGATTTGGTGATTCTGCATTCTGGCAATGGTGCACAAGCAGACGCAACATAGAACTCACATTTATCAATAACATTGTGGCCTAAATGTATAGCATATGCATTTACATGTCTTTATACTTAAATTAAACAATGGAATGAACCAATATAAATATAAGTGCTATGAAGATGGACCATAAAATATAAATCTATTTTATTTATCAGGTAAAGCCCACTGAGTTTATTAGCTCTTTCTCAGAGGTGACCTGGCCACGCATGATAGCTCATGGAAGTGGCTTCTCTCATCATTATATGTCGTAATGTATAGTTGCAGACCTATGCCATTTTAAGGTTATAATCTCTTGTTCATCATGACGTCCTTTTTACTTTGATGTCTTAATAGCGTGACGGAGATCGCATGACGTGAGGGTTCTGCCTTTGTAGTGAGGGTTGTAAGTTGACGCCCAGGAGGGGGCGCCTCGACCCCCCATGTGGAATGACGTCAGCCGCTAATTATTATGAATGAGGGGGGGGGTCCATTTGGAGGATGTAACCTTATCATGATTATTAATGAGGGGGTCTGTTCGATGTGGAGTTACGTCACGAGCGTTGCACACAGACATTCTTGGCTCATTATAGTAGATAATAAATAATGGGGGTGTGTCCATTTGGAGGACGTCACCTGCTCATGAATATTAATGAGGGGGGCTGGTCAATGTGGAGTGACGTCCCGAGCGTTAAGGACAGACATTCCTGGGTGATTATAGTAGGTATGCTGGAATTATTTCCTACATCTTATAGGCTTGTTAAAGTGTTCCACTGTTTATCTGATAATATAAACCAAGAGTGAAATGCCACATTCCTGTGGTAGTAGATAATGTATTTTATAGATTCAGATACCCAGCGATATATCTGGTAATATATTATTATGCGAGTTTAAAATAAAACTCTTTTATTTATAAGAAAAATATCTGCATCTTAATCTCATTCCATGGCATCTTATTTAAGTTATAAATTCAGGTAGAAGTGTTCACACTCGCGAGCTATCCACTACGCAGATTAAATGCAATATCTTATAATGCATTATAATCCTATCTCTCCTTACACAGTCAAGCCACCATATGTTTTGTGTTTGGGGGGGGTTCACAAATCAGTGGTGATGTAACAAATAGTAAATCTTGTAACGTTTTCGCAAAGCTGCTGCCCCCGTATTATTCTGCATGCCACCCACAGCTGTATTTAGCGCTACGGTTGAAATTGAACAGGAATCCTAATCATTTGGCCGAAAATCAGTCACTTTTCTGCAAGAAAGCCTGTTTCGAATGAGACGTAGCACTTGTGGCTTGCGGCGGCGGAGGGGGCACAATCCAAGGGTATCTCATCCCCTGCCTGCCCCCCCCCCACCCTCCATTCCGCTTAGCGAAAATATAGAGAAATAAACAAAAACGACAATGTGTGTTTCCATATCCTCCCATCCCTTGTGCTCACAGGTTAAGCTGGTAAACGAGCGGCCGTATTGTGACAAGTGTTACACTGGCGATTTGCAAAGCAAAAACTATTTCGTCTCCGTTCCTGAGGAACAAAATGTGCCACCCGCAATCAAAGTAATGCAGCGCTTACTCCACGTGATAATTTACAGTGTCAACTAGTGTGACAAGCAGTGTCATGTGCTAAGCACACAAAAGTCACCCTTCCAGCGTGGTTCTATGAATTGTCACGACTTGGGGTTGTGGCTCAATTCGAGCATTAAGTATTGTTTTGTCTCATTTATACTATTCGTCTCAATTGGTCCGTCTTGATCATCGTTTACAGCCGTTTGTCAATCTACTCGTAAATTAAGCTCCTTCCCACACCATGCGAAATACTTTACCCATGCTGCTCATTCAGACATCAACTGATCGGCTAATAATACGTTTGAAATCCACCAACCCGAATAGAAGATGTGTTGGGAACAGGCACTTTTTTCTTGTCCGGAGTGAACATGCTCGGGGTATTGACCAAGATGTCCCACGGCAGAGGGGCTGGTTCATAATGGACAGCTTCCGACGGGTTCCCTGTATGCCATCAAAATGTTAATTACAACGACTAAAACTGAAATGTCATATATTACAAACACTTCATATTAGCCTTTTAATATCACAGTGAAAGAGACAGTGTAAATCAACACAAAGCTCTTCTTTTTGTTGACACAATAGCAAAGCTGTGTGTTCCGGACAAGCTGACACAAGTTTGAAGTTTCGTTATTAACGGCGCACTATGGTCCAGTGTGCCAATATAGCGCTCTCGTGATGTATGTACGATGAATTTATTCCGCACCGTACGTAGTCAACCGTGATAATCGTAGGTGCGATGCATTGCATTGACATTGGAAGGCAGTGACATCACCATATCCCTATTTTGTAGCTACGAAATAAAAGTATATTAATTATTTGGTTTATCTTCCTTTAGCACAAAGCCAACGTGAAACATCTGAAGGATGCGTAAACAAAAAAATAAGCTAACAGATGTATGACAATGTCTGAAAAGTTTGGCGAGTGCATCTCTGACATTTTCCAACTTTATAGGGTGTAAGTAAAAGCACAGATTGGATATAAAACACAACTCTGGTAAGCCTTAGGATGACATATTAAGAAAAAATAAATTTAGCATGCTGAGAGACGTATATAGAAAAATATATCCAAATGCATTTTTTTTATGCTTCATGAATTTTTTTACTAAACGATAAAAGTGAGTTACGGTACCGCTGAACGGCTCGTGTTCCCAGGCTGTGGTCCGCTCTTCGGTGAAAGTCTCCAGATGATACTACGCAAATAAAATAACACCAACAAGATATATAGATAGTTGTTCATGAACCGCATCTGAGTCGTGTAAACCCATTGAGATTTCCAGCAGCTATGATACTTTTAAAAGCTGCTTTGGTGTTTGAGAACGCTAAAATCTACATCGCGATGGGCCGATGGCCATATGGGTGCTTTAAAAAGTTTCTTTCAGTCACTTAACCGACCAACTTTTTAGAAAAATTGAGCGGGCTTGAGCAGGTGGGCAAGAATAACTACCAGGTGACAACCAAAGGAGAGAATGCACCCAAAAGGTGCATCCATCGTCAGAGATTAATCGATGAGACCGGCAAGTGCTCAGTGGATTGTTGCATCGCAAGATCGTGAGTGATGGCAACCCGCTTGGGGAGGCAGCCTTCATCCAGAAGTGGGATTGATTATGGCCAAAGATGATGAACCACTCGGTAAGAATGAGCGTACATTTTGGGGGGGAATTTGCATCTTGACGGAACAGCCGAAACACATCGCGCCTTGGCGATTTGCACCATCACTGGTAATGGAGATATTAGCACATTTTCACTCAAAAAAAATTGCATTTACTCCAAGTGTGATGAGAACTCAGAAGCTAAGCACGGCCGAGCTTGGCTAGTGCTTGGATGGGCGACCACCATGCACAGACAGGTCGTCATAGGTCTTGCGTGGTTACGCAGTGGGCAGCACAGGGCGGTATAGTAAAATCCATTGTTGTACTGTACGTCAATGCTCCCCACCTTCACTGACCTGCCCTGACTAGCAGCAGAGTATTAACAAAAAGGCTGTACATATACATTCAGTTCATCAATCAGTGCATGCAGGAGGAACAGAGACATGCGAGATTGTAAGGATGTTTTTTTTATTTATGGGCCGTTTGCTCAAATGCTTCAGAATCTCAAAGTGCCTCAGATCAGATATTATACAGGAAGGAACAACAGTTCCACACTGCCCACCAGGGATTATTTGTCTGTCTGTCTGTCGTGCATAGCCACGCCCTCGATTTGTATTTCATAGAGTGCTTCGGGCGGGCTCAGCACCACGTGACGCGCTGCCCCACGCAGCTTGCGCCGCGTGACACGGATCGCACGAATGCGCCGTCCAACCAAGTTCCTACCTGCCCACTCCGAAGGAACGTGTTCTCAACTGTCCCATCGCCCGACAGCCATGAAGCCAAGGGGACCCCAGTGGCAGCTCTCCTTATGGAGCATTTGGTGTGTGCAGCACCAGCTTGCAAATGGGTATAGTCTGCCAGGAAGGGGTGATGTTGATATGTGGTTTTCCCAATTTAAGTAATTTGTCGGTAGTTTTTCAAATTTGGCAAAGTTGGACCATGACGCCGGCACACACGGGCCAACTCTTTTTTCGAAGAACGTCAATGGCTTCTTTAACGTCCACCCGTTAATACTCCCGCATAATCGTCGACCTTGGAACTGCGAACCTCTGTGACAAGCGGCAAATGCGCTGCCACTCGTTAAGGAAGACCTGAACGTTATTTAGGACTGCTAGCGATGAAGGCGCGCTCACCCGGTAGGTGTTGTATGGGAGGAGCTCGGTGAAGACCATGCCATTCACAGGCTCCTTGCTGTAGCAGCACTTCGAAGAGACAAACTGCATCAGCGCCTCCTTTGCCTCCTCCTCGCTGATGGCCGGGATGCTGTGTGGTGACAAACATTGATTAATGGATATCAATCACGAGCAGAAAAACTGTGATTCAGAGGGCAGCCACCCCTCCCACTTCTCTTCCCTCTTCTCGACCCCTCTTATCTCTGTCACCTGTCCCACTCTTCCCCTCTGTCACCCACCCTTCCTGTATTAAAGACTAGCTGTACTACCCGGCTTCGCCCGGGACTTGTATCCACCACGGCCGGCCGCCTTTGTCTCCCCAGTGGCGATGTTAATACGCTACAGCAGTTACTCGTTTGAGGCAGAGTCGACCTAGGGGAGGTTCAAATAATCGTCACCGGTGGTGGCCGTGAGCGGGAATGGAACTGGGTTCGCCGGGTTGGTAGCGCAGCGTAGCGTTAAGCACTACACCCACCGTTCCTCACACACCCCACACGCACAGACACACACACAGACACACACAGACAGAGACACACACACACAGACAGCACGCTAACCACTACACTACCGCTCCCCACACACCACACACGCACACACACAGACACACACACAGACACACACACAGACACACACACACAGACACAGGCAGCACGCTAAGCACTACACTAACGTTCCCCCTACACAACACACGCGCGCGCGTCCATAGGTACACATACACGCGCTTGCTGCAGACACACACGACTTTCAGGGTGCGTACGGCAGTAAACGACTGAAATAATAAAGCGGCAATGCTGCGCAAGGAACTCCTTAGACCTGCAACACATTTGTGTAATGCGAGCGTAAACACACAAACACATACAAACACATACACAATACACACACACAAACATGCAGACACACAGACAGACACATAACACACATACATACACACACATACATACACAGAAACACATACACACACATACATAGACACACACATACATACACACAAACACATGCACACACGTACATACATACATACAGACACGCAGACATACACATAAAGACATAGAAAAAAACCCACATACATGCACACACACACACAAACACATACACATACATACAGACACACAGACATACACATAAACACATACACACATACACATGACCCGGCTTCGCCCGGGACTTGGATCCACGATGCCCGGCCGCCTTTGTCTCCCCAGTGACGATGTTCACACACGACAGCAGTTACGCGTTTGAGGCTGAGTGGACCTAGGGGAGGGCCAGGTCCGTTTCAAATAATCGTCAGCAGTGGTGGGCGTGAGTTGGAATCGAACTGGGGTCGCTCAAACAGCTTAATGACTATTTGTACAAAGAACATATAAAGAATCGATTCTAATAACCAGGCTACAGTCCACATTACAGACTGGCAGTACACGCAGTCAGCTTCATAAGCAGGCTAGAGTGTACATGATAGAGTGGCAGTACGCTCACCGAGATTAATAAGCAGGCTACAGTCTACATGATAGACTGGCAGTACGCTGACCCAGCTTAATGACTATTTGTACAGTGAACATTTAAGTAATCGATTGTTGGCGCGTTGGGTTTAAAAGTAATATTAATTGCACACATTGTGGTGGGGGTGGAGTGAAGAGTAGGAAAAACTTTGATGAATTTACCTCAGAGTGGCGTGGTGGGTGTGGAGGCCTAGTAGCGTGCAGAGCCTGCGGCCTAGCCAAAATTGTCCAGCCGGCAGAGGCAGGGTACGGGTGGCGTGCCTTCCCCCCCCCCCCCCCCTCAGCGCTCCAACAATACTGTGTAATGGCTATTATTTAATTATTTACGGAGCCTATGAAAGTGGCGAAGGCGTGGCTAGCCGTTGGCAGGGGCAACCGCCGTCCAATGAAACTGCAGCCCTTGGCGAAGGCGTCGCTAGCCGTTGCCAGGTCCAATGAAAGCGGCGAAGGCGTCGCTAGCCGTTGCCAGGGGTAACCGCCGTCCAATGAAAGTGCGTATGGTCCGAAATCCACACACACACACACAGACGGACAGACAGACATCTACGATTTTATATATATAGATACTTCCAGAATTGTCCTTCCTTCAGAGGTTAACTTCCTCTAATTTGTTTTCCCACTTCGTCTTGCATAAAATTATTGTGCACAAAGGAAACTTTTTATTGCTTCTCCTGGAAGATGTTTTAGTGGAGGTCTTCCTCTTCTTCCAGATGCCACTTGGCTAGATTTTAAAGTTAAGTTTTTTTTGTTCATGAGTTAATTGGCAAACTGGATTGTCGTTCATAAATAATAGACAATGAGTCATTAAATAATACATAAATGCCCTTTATTTATTCACTGATCGACAAAATACTTTTTCAGGAGGATCCCGCATTCCACACGATTGTTTGGCTTCTGGGAGGAAACTGGAATATATGGATAAAACCGTGCGTACTGCAACAGTGAAGCTCTACACTGCCATCTCTTGGTCAGAGTTTGGAAGTTGCGCATCTTTGTGCGATCCACCAACACTCACATCCAAAGTGCTAGACTGAACAGGTGTGTCCTACCATGCATTCTAAACACAGAGTATGTTGTTATAACATGAAGCCTTGGCTGGCAGGGTGTCACAGTGGAACCACTCGTGCCTCACGGCGATAAGGCCTTATACAGCAAGCGTGCTGTGACGGTTCCACCTGAAGACGGAAGCTTGTGTTGCCTCCGAAACGTCGTGATTTTTATTTTATTTTTATTTTACTTTTATTAATTTTTATTTTTTACCTACGTGACTTTACCAAAAAAACCCAAGAATATGAATCCTTGCAGTCACGAAAGCTTCAAATCTAGAAGCCTTAGGTTTAATTCCCAACTTAGGTGCCTTTGCTGCGTTTAGTTTACATGTTGCAAAGACTACTGGTCTAAATGACTGCATGGAGATCGCAAGATCATTTTACACCATGTATACATTAAGTATGCTCCATAAGATGCCACTGAATGTTCCTAATGCATGGTAATTATGAACTAAATATTTTAATAGGTTGATCTGGACCACTTTCACTAGCTGAGATAAGTTTGGCAATTATGTACACGATTGTATGCTAATTATATACAATTTGAATTTATAAAACGAATATATACAACAAAATCTTCAAGTACTAAATAATCCAGATTATCTAGTGCTTGCCTGTGACCATGCACTCGGTTTTGTGCAGCTTCTTGAGATGTGTGGCATGAATTCAAATAGTAAAATTGGACACTTTTTACTTATGTGTGGAGATCCAGTGCCCTCTGGCTGCAGAGAGCTAGAATGGCAATTGTGCTGCTCATGAATATATTTGTTGCCATAAAGACATCTTGGCACTTATGCACTTTGAAAATGAATGGCATATGATGGAGCAGCACTACGCTCAGGAATTATAGCCTTAAAATAGGGCACCACCATTCTTATTTACATACACTGCCTTATTACTAAAAATTACATAGTTCGTTTAAACCATGTGCTGCCCATCAACACACACAAAGTGTGCAAAGACAAATATCCCCTGTATAGCCTTGTAGACAGCCGAATCTTTTGCTATTTGCAAGCATGAGCAACTGCTAAGGAAGGCCCGAATGTGGGGGAGATGTGGCTTAGTAACAATGCCCAGTTGCCTTTGTCTCCCCAGAGCTGTACAAAGCACTCATTAACAGATAAGCCAACCCTACAGGAGGCCCTGCACCAGTTCAGATATCACGTGGCAAGCAAATATACTCAGGTCGACAGGTGCATATCGTAATGAGCTAACCATTGCGCCACTGGTCCAAAGACAAAGATCACCCCGTTTATCTGTTTGGGCAAGTGCTGTTAGCGAGCACCTATGAAGGCCAGTACGTCACACTAGGGGTGGTTGGTCAGGACCATGCCTTTGTCTCCTCGGCGGTGATGTTTACACACCGCACCAGGTACTCATTTGAGGCTGAATCGACCTAGGGGAGGTTCAGGACCAGTTCAGATAATCGTCACTGGCGTTGGCCGTGAGCGGGAATTGAACTCGGTTGGCCGGGTTTGTAGCGCAGCGCGGACCGTTGCACTACTGCTCCCCACTGATTCCTCCACACACAAGTATACATCATGGACTTCATCACACTCCTCTCCACCTGGGCCTCGCAAATGTCATACAGATCTTGTCTTAATTTATAAAGTGCCTTGACCAAGGCGCTGAATAAATAATTTGATATTTGTACAGCAAAAGTATGATGAGATGTGTTAATGAGAAGGATGGTCGTACATGAAGATGTTTTTCATGAAATAAACAATGATGGAAGAGACAATGAGTGGTTGATGAGTGAGTGAGTGAGTGTGATGAATGTGTAGGGAAGTTGGGAAAGGGGATGGTGGTGTTAATGATGGAGGGGGAAGAGGAGTTTGGGTAACGGAGGGAAAATTTGTCAGTTTTAAGGGAAGAACGAAAAATGGTCAGTGAAGCTGATTGTTTGACGTGTCGGGGCAGCTTGCTCCAGTGTAAGGGGGCCAGAAGCAAAAACGAATGGACTCGTGATTGGGCACAAGGAGGATGGGGAATTTGACAGGTATCTCGATCTCAGCATTTGCAATATTGCTGATTATTGTGCTGGACTGTGTAAATTGGGCTGTGTACGTATGTGTCCACCTTGTTCCCCCCCCCCCCTCCTCCCCTTGGTAGGTTCTATGCCTACTTAAGCCAATCACGATAATGAGTAGCTACAAATTTATGATAACCAACCTTGATTGCCTTGCCACAGCTGAAGCCTGTGAAGCATTAAATAAATACAATTTGGATTTACATTGTGCCTAAAGGCAACTGGATTTTAAAATGCTGCTGTTGTCGGCATTGTCCTTCTTGCATGTAGATGATGCTGCCGACAGGTCTCATGTCTTGCACGTGCATCTGTGTCTGCGTGGACCCATATGTGAATGGCAGCCTTTCCCACTTGTAGCTTGATGTTTGAAGGAACGTTGCCACGTTGAGATTTTAAATGTTCAAGAAGCTGGACAAAAGTTGAACGTGTGCTTTAGCGAACCCTCTGAAAAGGGGGGTATATAGATAATATACTTCATGACAAGGTGTGATTGAACAGAATTCGTAGAGAAGAGACAGTCAGCAATGGGTTAAGGTAAAAAAAGAGAAAGGCTTGAGCATGAACTTGAACTGGGGCAGGAAGTTCGTTGCATATATGACAGCAGGAGAGAATTCCAGACAGTGAGGGCAACGGCAGAGAAGGAGCGACATCCAAGCGAGTGAAGGCCGACTTCAGTGTTTTAATAGGAAGGTTTGGTTGCAGGATCAGAGAGCAAATTAAGGGGAGTAGAGTGATATTTGAGGGGAGAGATAGGCCAATCAGCTGTTGTGTCCACACTTATTGTCATACAATATATTAACATTTCAAGGAGAAGCCCTTTTTTAGAGCATATAGATAAATGAAAACAAGCAATGAACAGCCTTCATAAGCTGCCAAAATACATTGCCATTCCATCTGTGCGTTTTTTTTAATCACCGTTGCTAAGCACAGGTCCAAAGCAACAAACATTACTGCTGTTTCTTTATTATATTTCAACAGGAGCCCGGTACGGAGACGTGAGAGTGGGGATGGGTATAGAAAAGCCGTGGACCTCAGTCCCAAACACTACACATCTGGGTTTAAAGCGAGGGGGGGAGGTAATGTTTTTTGAGCTCAGCAAGGTTTTGAGAACTTAAAAAAAAACCTGATAGGAGGGAATTCCAAAGTCAAGAGGTGCAAGGGAAGAAGTAGGAACACAAAGTGTTTTGACCCGCGGTGCGGTAGTGTGCGTTGTCCTCTGGGAACTTAAATACCTGTAGGTCTGCGGAGGGCCATTGGGCCGTGGACCCGGCTGTGGCAACATCCCATCAGGTGGTGGCACATTGTGGTCTAGGAGAAAACAAGACAATAATAACACCATTCTCAGTTGTGTTCCTTCATTGGACCGGGTGACCGGGTAACAACACTTACCTGTGGAGTTCAGTCAAAGCAGGTCACGCACGTTGAACTTCTATCGTACCGTACGTAGCCAACAGTGTTAATCGGAGGTGCGTTGGAATGACAACATACTAAACACAAAAAGTAGTTCTAATGAAAAGTTTTAAATCTAGAACTTAAAAGTGCATAGCTCCAGCTGCTTCCTAATATCGTAAAGAAGGGCGTTCCAGACACCCGCTGAAGCGCATCTGCAAGCAGGTGATGCATTGTTTGATAGCCAGGCAAAAGCCATGCATGTGTACAGGATTTGTACATAAGCATGTACAAAAAATATATATAATGATAAAATAATAATAAATGAAAGATAACTCATTTAAATCACGACGTTTCGGAGGCAACACAAGCTTCCTTCATCCGGTGTAAAAAGGCACAGCAAAATAACTGTAGTGAGAAAATAACTGTAGAGAGAACAGTTATTTTTCTGTGCCTTTTTACACCTGATGAAGGAAGCTTGTGTTGCCTCCGAAACGTCGTGATTTAATTGATATATTTTCATTTATTATTATTTTAACTTTATTGTTTTTTATTCTTTTTTACCTACGTGACTTTACCGAAAAAACCTAAGAGTATGAATCCTTGCAGTCACGAAAGCTTCAAATCTAGAAGCATGTACAAGTCTTTTGTCATCCCTGCACTGTGTGGGTCATGGGGGTTGCTAGACCATAACTACACTATGCAGGGAAGTGGGGGTTGGTGAAGGCATGGAACGTAGATATGGCAGCATACAACCATGGATTTTGCTGCACTTCTCTCTTCTGCACACCACATTGTCACCCCCCGCCCGCCCCCACAGCCTATAACACCTGTTTAATACATAGTAGTCACACAGACAATCACTATCCAGGCTCAATTATGCTTAGCTTCTGAGACGTGATGAGATCAGACGCACACTCTGAGTTATTTGGTCATAGGCCAAAGCAGTTGGCTTTATCCAAAAAACTGGGTTTCGTGACATGCAAACAGTCCATCAAGGTGCTAAAAGTTTCGTGAAAGGAAAAATAAAAACATTGTGGATGTACACATATAGCCGTTTCACCGTGGCACAAGCTCTGCCATATGGGTTATACAAATGGCTGCGTCTGCACTTTCTCACAAGTGAACAAGCCTTGCAAACGCCGGTCGTCACAAACCCACCACAGTACAACTTTTCACATTCACCAATCTCTCCCATCGAAATGGCAATTGAGTCATTACATGAAGTACATGTTTTTATGGTTTACAATGGAAAATTTCCACGTGGAAGAGAAATATATTTGAATCAAACACATTTGTTATGTAATTTACTGCCCTTTTTAAATGTATTGTAATGTTTGTGTTATTATGATGTTAATGTATTTAATAGCCTATTTACGTATTTATTTAAGGCAACTTATTCCAAAGATAGGTTTTCGTAGGCCAATATCGTTATCCGTGAAATTTGATATTCACAAGCACTTCAGGAAGTTAGCCCGCATTGCGAACTGGCCATACTGTACTTCGCCATGCTGGTTAGTGCACGCTGGTGAAGCAGGAGTCAGGATTGGGAGGGGTGTTCAAGAAAAGTTTAGATATCACTCACCACTGGTGCTCGCCATGGCCAGGCCAGATTGTTTACGTTAATATATTCATAAATATTTATTAAACATGCTCGCTGAATTGTTTTACAGCATATATAATGTCAAAATTAATTTTTAAATATACCTAAACATATAGTTAAGATGATACCGTATACAACATTTCAATGGCCAATTTCAACGAGTGAAATGTAAAACGAGAAAATATTAACTATTTCACATTTGCTGATAACATTTTCATGATAGCAAACCAATAGAAATGAATTACAGGAAATGATAACATTACTCAAGAAGACTGAAAATATTTCTGTTGGGATCGACATACGAGGAAAACATGAAGATATGTTTATAGCTATATGTGTATGTTGAGCTTCTTTTGCATCGTACGTAGCCAACCATGCGAATCTGATGTGCACAGGCCACCCGAGCGCTTCTATGAATATTGCAACAATGACCACACCGCTATTTTAGAATACTCGGAAATGCCGTTACACTCAAGCGACCAGCAACAAATAGCACTGCTAAATTCTAGATTTGAAGCTTTCGTGACTGCAAGGATTCATACTCTTAGGTTTTTTCGGTAAAGTCACGTAGGTAAAAAATAAAATTAATATTAATAAAAGTAAAATAAAAATCACGACGTTTCGGAGGCAACACAAGCTTCCGTCTTCAGGTGGAACCGTCACAGCACGATAGCTGAACCGTCACAGCACGCTTGCTGTATCAAGTACTTGATACAGCAATCCTGCTGTGATGGTTCCACCTGAAGACGGAAGCTTGTGTTGCCTCCGAAACGTCGTGATTTTTATTTTACTTTTATTAATTTTATTTTTTACCTACGTGACTTTATCGAAAAAAACCTAAGAGTATAGCACTGCTAAAGTTGTCATAGACATATCTACCTTTCTTGTGGAACATTCTGTGGATGGGAGTGGCGAATACCAGAGTTTGGAAAGCCCCATCACGGACATGTCGAGGAAGCCATACAACAGCTCCATGCGCCGCCGTGTGGTTCTGAAGGGGAGCAGAGGCGGTGACTCACCAGGGCCCATGGGTGTCCCCTCGTAGCCGGGCATGTTTGGCGGGGGTGCCGACGGCGCCGAAGGCATGGATGGAAGAGCTCCCGCTTCTCCTCCTGTCATCGGGTCTTGCGAGCCTGCGATACGATCCGATACAACAACAAAAGCAAAGAGTCACCCGACTTCACAGCTAGCAGCAACTGCTGCAGTGCTCGGTGCCAGAAACTAAAATCTCTCGGCTGAGCAATTTAAGCTAGCGAGAAAGTTAAGAACCGATGTCCTACCCATTTACAAATGATAGAAATCTCATCAGATCCAGGAATAATGCAGGCCAGTGTGTGTCGACAACTAACAGATAAATTATATGTAAACAACACTTGTAAACAGCAGAGGACAGTGCAGAAAATGCCATTGTTAGCACGTCTATGCTTCCATGTTCAATGCTCACCGCCTTCACCAACTAGCACTGACCAGGATGGTGAAGTATGATCGAACAACCACCAGACCAGCATGGTGTAGGGAGGCCCTCGTCCAGCAGTGGATTGATGCAAGGGCAGTCCAAGTGCAAACATTATTTGTTTGGTTTTATTCACCACTTTACCATAAAGTGGTGTGTCATACAGAAGCGGGAATAAATGCAGGGGACATTTTAGTGCTTCTAACATTGGACAGCTTCAACATGGATATGAAACAAATATTACATTATAATGTTAAGTATCTAGCAACCATGTATGAACGTATATATCAATGTAATCTTTATAATTGTCTGCCAACTTATCATCACATGGGTTAATCAGTTATCAGCTTGTGCCCACTGATGAATGGTTTCCAAAGTAAGATGTCATTAATCTACAAGAAGCCAAAGTGATCTAAAGTGTTAAACATTGCACAGGATCAACAGGGTGTATGCTTAAAATAAATCCAGAATTGTGTACATATCTGCACATGCACACAGTTATAAATGTCACTCCAGTATTCAGCTTTACACATTCTGGCTCAAAATAAAGTTTCCACGAGCGTACAACATTCGAACTGCGCAGTCAGGAACAAAGTCGGGGAAGTGCTATCGAACACCACACTTGTTTCCTGTCGACTACAGCGTTGCTTCCATGGCGGCAGCTGTTCAACGCACGTTCCAATGCTCGCTCCCAAAGGTCAATCGAGTAACTTCACGCACAATACACTAGCCTTTCCCAACGTTCGGCCAGCAGGAGATCTCCACTGTGATGAATTACGGTTATTGCATACCTACTGGAGAGTTAATGTCTCATTGGGCTCTAGCAGGGCATGATGGAACATCGTTATAATATCCAGGGTTTTGAAGGCAAGAGTCGGTGGATAAACAGAACCCATACTCAGATGGGAGGTTACCACTATATGATTACATTGGTTCAATAGTGGTAACATTTGTGCCTCAGAGCAAGAAGGACATGGGTTCGATTCCCCACTCGGGAACCTTTGTGTGCAGAGTGTGTACTTCCCTGTTCTGCATGAGCTTCCACTGGATTCTCCAATTCCCTCCCATAAATAAAAAAAAGTACAATATAACTGTTATTGGCCAAACATCCCAATGATGAAAAAAAAATACCTGAAACTTACTCAAATACTGTAACAACGTTGCCCACTAATGAAAAAGGATTGTCCTGAAAAAATATTGAGAATCAGTGAGGCTTTTCTGGATAAACAAGTGGGGTTGGCGCATCCATTTTTGCAGGCATTTGCGTGTTACCCCTTAGTCGACAAATGTTTTCTCTGGATATACTGGATACCTCCCAAATTCAAACACTCCATTTAATAGACGGTGCCAAATATGCCAATGCAGGACCTTCCTGAAAAAAAGTATTTATCCTCAAGGCTTTGCTGGATAGATTACACACTCATAATATAGGCCGTGCTATAACATAGGTGCTCAAAGCAAGGAATTTCACATCGTTTACCAGGATAGGATAAAACTGTGCTGCTTATGTAGGCCTTGAATTTGCCTCGTACTATTTCTGCAAAACTTGGTCAAGTAACCTATATGGAGAGACAGATATATGCGAAGGAGACAAATAGTCTGCTTATCTGTTAAGATTCTCCACAAAAAACCTCATGATTATTTTGAGTTTTCTCGGATATAACTTTACATCAAACCAGGACCGATATATTTAAAGAAAGGGTCCCTGCCTATAACATATGGCCAGTTCACCAGTAATAACTCAAGGGAGCCTGACTGCTGATGATACATTGTGTCAAAACCCGTCCTAATTTTTTATCTAAATGCTATTCAAGCACTCCCAGAAGCCTGTGGGGCGTTTGGAATGTGTATAAAACGCTTTAATTTGTATGTGGAAACAAATATATACCTTTCTGTTATTCGTATTCTCCACAACAATGCTAATAATTGTATTCAGTTATATGTTTATGAAGCAAAACTCTTGCAGGATTTGAAAATAAGAGAGGCAGACATTCAGAAGAGGAACTTGTGGGCGGAAACTCTCTCAGCCGGGCAAGTCTCCCAGATTTAATAGGAGAGGATGCACTTTTCAGCTGTACTGTATAACCCATTGTGGCCACTGTTTCAGTACTGTACTGTTCTTTACAATGTGATCGTTAAACAGCCACTGTGAGCAGATTTGTTACGGCCACTATCATAATGTCAACAGCTTCTCGCGTATATATCACGTGTGCTTCTGGGAAGAAGTGTGTGTGTATATAGGGGGTGTAAAAGATGCATCGATTCATCAAACGATTTACATTGTCTTAATGCTCATCATACGTGCATCAAATAACACGTGTAAGAATTGATGTTTTAAAATTAATGTACATTTAGGCCGATGGATCGAACAAACGTGTAGAAACACACGGGGAAAACATGAGAGACAAAGTACAAAGGAGAGAGTGAAACATACGAACAGAACCAGGGGTATAAATAACAAAAATGTATCCAAGATCTGGGTTACAATCGCTGCACCCCTAAAAAAACTCATCTTTCTCTGCTTTCTCCTAACACGTCAAACTTGATGTTTACTCTCTCCATTGGGAGTTTCACAACTGATTATTTACAAGCCCATGTTGACACTATCGGGTGGAGTGGTGGCACAAAGGTTAGCGCATTGCACTTGTGACCCTGGCGATCCGAGTTCAATTCCTGGCCATGGGTTAACAGCGGTGGTGAGAAATATATGAACGGGCATTGCCCTCCCTTACCAGCCCACACTGACCGGCATGGTAAAGTATGGCCAAACAATTCTAGATTTGAAGCTTTCGTGACTGCAAGGATTCATATTCTTAGGTTTTTTCGGTAAAGTCACGTAAAAGTTAAATAAAATAAAAATCACGACGTTTCGGAGGCAACACAAGCTTCCGTCTTCAGGTGGTACCGTCACAGCCACGAAAGCTGTATCAAGTAAATGAGAGATTGCAGGAGCTACCAATCCGTTTATATAATGGTTGGAAAAGGTGGTGGGGCAAGGTCCGCATACTTTTTATTAATATTTTATTTTACTTTTTTATGTTTTTTACCTACGTGACTTTACCGAAAAAACCTAAGAATATAGCCAAACAACCCGCATGACGAAAAGGCATGGGGGAGGCCACCATCAAGCATCGGTGGACTGATCCACGGGGTTTTCACGACAATTATTTAATATAAACAAGTTCATTATTAGTCAGCGTAGACAAGGAAGAACATAGATGGGGCCTAGAAATCAGTTGTGAGTGTAAATGGCATATTAAGAGCTAAGCGCGCGGGTTGGTTGGTGTGTGCTCTAGAAATACAAAGAAGTCACACAAGCGATGAATGAAATCAGCATGGCGATCAGGTTGTATGAACTCAATGCATGCCTCAATAGGCGTTGCCCTCGCCAGAGACGTGGAGTTAACCCGACATGGGCTGTGACTGTCAGTGGGAGATGAGACTATCTCATACCTGTCAAACCATTATCATTGCCTACCTTATTACAGACAAATTCATACATTATTGGTCACCCCGTTGTCCTATAAATCTCACCGTTCATCCTACAAAGTCCCATCAGAAGGGAGAATCACAAACAAATATACAAAAAATAAAATACTATACAAAAACAGTTTTTTGTATTAAGTTTGATAACCGGTGTCAATGATGCTACTCATCATACTACTCGTCTGTGATCTTGCATGCTGTTGTTGCTTGCTTGATATGTGAACGCACACACTCACATACCTCTTTGGTTCTTTCGGTAAAGTCACGTATATAAAGATAAAATAATAAATTAATAATACATTTTATCTTTATACGTGACTTTACCGAAAGAACCAAAGAGTAATTCCTGCAGTCACGAATGCTCCAAATTAAGATACTCACATACCTGTCAAAGCCTTATCAGTGCCTGCCTTACTACCGACAAATTCAGACCTTATTGGTCACCCCGTGCCCCTATAAATCTCACCGTTCATCCTACAAAGTCCCATCAGAAGGGAGAATCACAAACAAATATACAAAAAATGAAATACTATACAAAAACTGTTTTTTGTATTAAGTTTGATAACCGGTGTCAATGATGCTACTCATCATACTACTCGTCTGTGCTCTTGCATGCTGCTGTTGCTTGCTTGATATGTGGACGCACACACTCACATACCTGTCAAAGCCTTATCAGTGCTCTACCTTACTTACAGACAAATTCAGACCTTATTGGTCACCCCGTGCCCCTATAAATATCACCGTTCATCCTACAAAGTCCCATCACAAGGGAGAATCACAAACAAATATACAAAAAATAAAATACTATACAAAACTGTTTTTTGTATTAAGTTTGATAACTGGTGTCAATAATGCTACTCATCATACTACTCGTCTGTGATCTTGCATGCTGCTGTTGCTTGCTTGATATGTGAACGCACACACTCACATACCTCTTTGGTTCTTTCGGTAAAGTCACGTATAAAGATAAAATAATAAATTAATAATACATTTTATCTTTATACGTGACTTTACCGAAAGAACCAAAGAGTAATTCCTGCAGTCACGAAAGCTCCAAATTAAGATACTCACATACCTGTCAAAGCCTTATCAGTGCCTGCCTTACTACAGACAAATTCAGACCTTATTGGTCACCCCGTGCCCCTATAAATCTCACCGTTCACCCTACAAAGTCCCATCACAAGGGAGAATCACAAACAAATATACAAAAAATAAAATACTATACAAAAACAGATTTTTGTATTAAGTTTGATCACCGGTGTCAATGATGCTACTCATCATACTACTCGTCTGTGATCTTGCATGCTGCTGCTGCTTGCTTGATATGTGGACGCACACACTCACATACCTGTCAAAGCCTTATCAGTGCCCTACCTTATTACAGACAAATTCAGACCTCATTGGTCACCCCGTGCCCTTATAACATCACATGGGAGAAACACAAATATACACACACACAAAATCTTGTTTTGCCCCTATTGAAACGGCTGTACGTCGTACAGACCTGAAAGTAAAATTCCCCTATACAAGAATACAGGGTGAACCGTATGGGTTTGACAGCTTTTCTACTTTGGCTCGGCTCTTCCACTGAACTGCACACGACTTACATTATCCTGCGTAGTATAGCAGCCAACATGCAAGTGAATACTTTATTAATTGGCCATTTGTTAATCGTAGCATTGTTATTGCAACATCATTGGCGGTGATTGCATGACGTTTATGAAAATAAAGTCGTTTTAGAGGCCTATGCTGGTCTGTCTGAGTAATTAAACATGTGAAGTGTGTTTAGCCTTCGAAAACGAAATAACAAACTTGTACATTTAGCGTCTATCTTTAAAACGGCTCACCCATCGGAAACCTGCAATACTCGCTATTTACTTAATGGCATCCTATGGTTCTTTAACATGCACAAACATGCAGAATAAAAAGATAAACAATATAACTTATACTGTAACGAGAGAACAGCAATACAGTATATATACGAATCGCTGCCTATGAATACGTCAAAGTACGTGCACTTATGAGAGTAACGCAACAAAATGAATAACATTTAATTAAATTGTAAGGCCACAATACGCGTTCAATACCATTAATATTATGAAATAAAACGGGTTGTTAAGACGTTCAGACACCAAATAGAAACCGTTATAAAATTGCCCAGTAAGTTTAAAACAAACACCGCCAACGTACACGGTTACAGTGCGTTCCGCATTGAATTCTAATAGCAAGACAAAGCAATGTAGCAACTTGTAAAAGCATCGTTGTTATTCTACAACATTATACGCACACACACACACGTTAAAGTACCCTGTCAAACAATTACACTGTTTTAGTGCAAGCGGCGGCCACGTTTTCAAATCACTTAGTCAATTGTACAATAAAATAACCAGCGTGGAGCATAAAGCAAGCAGCAACATCAACTTTCTCACCCATGAACGCCGGGTTCTCCATGTTTCGTTAAGTTTATTTCTCTTTCCCGAAGACGGCCGTGAAGACGTCCTTGAACAGTAATACTTGAAACAACAACAACCACCACCAACCCTAACAACGTACAGCCGAACTCCTCTCTTCCTCGAGGGAACACTAAAACAATTGCAATTGTTGAATTTGCCTTCCGTGTTGGAAGGTGCTTTTTTGGGGGGTTTCGTTATCTGCTCAACAACAGCCACAAAGTCACCACCAGAGGTCCCCCAATACCAGCAGCACCACCAGCCCCCCACTTCATTTCTCGCCGGGCCCGGGGCTCTTTACTCTCTTAGAGCAGAAGCCCAAAGCCACTTCCTTTCGCGATGTTAACTTCTAAATGTTTTTATATAAATGTGTGTGTGTGTGGAATGAGGAACTTAAAGTTTTAACGTGAGCCGGTGGTCATCACCCACGCCTTCTCGTTTTCCCGCTGTTGTCGTTGTTGTTGTTGTTTTAACACAAGCCCCGATAATTTGGCGTTTCTCTTTACAAGCAAATGTTACCAGAGCGCAATGTGTTGCTTTCTTTATTTCTTTTAAAAATCTACATAAACTACTTGCAATGGGGGGGTGCACGCAACTGCGGTTTAAATCGGTGCGGTCTGCACTCGGGGAGTTTGACGCAATATCGACGACGACGATGATGGTGATGATGGTGATGAAATCCAGTCAACGTCGCGTTTCCTTCACAGATTAAGTCATATCTCGAGAACACATTACGTGCTCATTACGGAATCCCCTTGTGAAACACACAGGCGGCTTGATGGAGATATACAGCCACGGTGGTGGAAAAAAAACCTGAAATTAATCAACTTTGTTGCATTGCAGCACGCGTACAGCAGCCCTCTGCCAATCCACTGCTGGATGAGGGCTTCCTCGGGCAGTGCAGGTGGTTGTACTGGTAGGAACCTCCTGGCTACACCAGCCCACAGGGATTAGTGTGTCCGTCCGTCCGTCGTGCAGGGAGGGGATGGGTGGGGAGGGTGGGGAGGGGCTGGGTGGGAAGGGTGGGGAGGGAGGGTGGGGCTGGGTGGGGAGGGGAGGGTGGGGGCTGGGTGGGAGCGAGGGGCTGGGTGGGGAGGGTGGGGAGGGGCTGGGTGGGGAGGGGAGGGTGGGGGCTGGGTGGGAGCGAGGGGCTGGGTGGGGAGGGTGGGGAGGGGCTGGGTGGGGATCGTGGGGAGGGGCTGGGTGGGAAGGGTGGGGAGGGGCTGGGTGGGGAGGGGCTGGGTGGGGAGGGAGGGGCTGGGTCGGGGTGGGTGGGGAGGGGCTGGGTGGGGAGGGTGGGGCTGGGTGGGGGGTGGGGCTGGGTGGGGAGGGGCTGGTCACCCCGTGGTGCCCTTATAAAACTCAACGTTTAACCTACTCACGCCGGCTTGTGCCCGCCCTCGCAGTCGGGCATATTTGCGGAATACACCACGCCGCCGTTGACCCTGGCCATTGACCGAGCAACCCAACGTTCCTACCAGCTCCCTCCGCAGGAATGTGTTTATTTGACCATACTTGCTGCTCACCACACTGATCCAGTACAGGTTGATGTGAGGGCATAGAAGTACAATTCAACAATGCACATTGCTGCGCCAAACCCTCTTTGCCCACCAGGTAGCAGCAGCTTATGACAGAAAGAGCTTGTTTCAAACCGTGGGATCTTTTCGCCAGTATAAAAGTATTAAAAATAAGAATAAGTATCACTCTTTCTGGCAAGAAAACAGGTGTTAAGGTGTTCAAACCCAAAATAGATACCTTTCGCAAAGGAATGAAGTCTGCATTAACCACATATACTTGTGGTGAACATGCAAACAAAAATGCTCTGACAATACTCTTTGGTTCTTTCGGTAAAGTCACGTAGGCTGAAATAATATTAGATCATGACGTTTCGGTCGTGATCTATTATTATTTCTACCCACGTGACTTTACCCTGCAGTCACGAAAGCTTCAAATCAAGAATGCTCTGACAATAGATGAGCATTGTCTTTGAAAATGTTTGGCCTACACCAGAGACAGCCTTCTTCATGGCCTAGTCTCACCACCAGTGTCAGAGCAGAGAACAACTCCAAAAGGCGAACAGCACAAAGACAATGCACGTAGCATCTATTGTATGGGGTGAGCAGCTATATCATGGGATCTTTTTGCCAGTATCAAAGGATGAAAAATAAGGGTGAAACGTATTATTTTTCTTATCTTGTTAGTGCATTAAAGTCACTTATTCGGCACTATCCAGAATCAACCCAGCTTAGTATCCGAGGTCTGACGAAAATGAGCACATTCTGAATGATTTGGTCACAGGCTATATTTTAAACCCTTCTTTGAATTCATGAAAAAAATGTTTGGCGTTGTGAAATAGTATTTCATGGACATTGTACTGTACCATGTATTTCACTGTTAAACCGAGCTACACAGATCCACTCACTGTTCAGTCATGTCTGTCATGCAGACAGAAATGGCTGAGCAGCAGTGGCTCATGTAAAAAAAGATTTTTAAATCCCCTTTGTCAATCCACTACCATATGAAGGCCTCCCCCATGTCCAATTGGTCATGGGTTTGTTTTGACCATACTTCACATCGATCGGGGTGGTTTAAACGTGGCCGAGCATAGCCGTTGGAAGTAAGGCACACTACATTAATAGTTTTTGCTAACGTCGCAATGTAGCAGCATACCAACAACTCCCCATTTTTACGTATCCACTATCCAAGATCAATCCTGCTTAGCTGCCGTGTAATGTCATGCTTGCGTTTTTTTTTCCCCTTCGAGGCACAATGTTGCCCAGTAAGGAGCCATCCATTTAGTAGGTACGCAAAAATCTATCAAAACCCTTGTCAGTGGACCATTCCATACGCAAGCGTACGCGTTTGGGTTAACCCCCCTCCCCCCTCCATGCGTACGTACTAAATGGATGGCCCCAAAAGTGGCCTCTTTCACTTTGACTCAATTTTCCAATGGTACACTGGAAAGGCAGGTGGCCCACTCCCTGGTGACAAGGGTAAGGAACTGTGTCTCTGTGTCCGTACCACTTTCTTTTGTCAAGCCTAGGGGGCAGCAGTTCGCTCAATCCATAGGGGTCGTGCTCACCCCCGCGGTTTTTCATAGGAAGGGTATAAAAGGCTACGGAATGGATACTGTGCAGGAGAGATGTCTCATGTGTGTTGGGAATGTCAACTGCACGTTAGGGTGACAAAATCCACGAGTACAAGACATGAAACACGTGTGGCGTTGGGGGGCTGCCATGCCAAAAAGATTGAGAACCATGAGCCAAGGGTAAATGGTCAATACAAACATATTTTAATATATGCATCATCAGCAACCAACTTGGAACCATGACACAAACTACAGTACATGAGAATACAATGTCTCACTATGCTTATGAAATATTCGACAACTTTTTTGCGTTATCACAATTGCACATAAATCGCTCTTGCTCCTTAATATGTCAAGCATGTTGTATGCCATGTTACATTTTTTGCACAATAGTGTATAATCTTACTTACCTTTTTTGTGATTATTCTTGGAGGTTCTATTTAAGCATGTCACTCTGATACATCTCTTTGAACACATTAATATTGATGGATAAATATTATGCACGCATTTCGATTTAAAGCTTTCGTGACTGCAGGGATTCATCTTCTTGGTTCTTTCGGCAAAGTCACGTAGAAGGGAAATAAAAAAATAAAAAAGTAAACATAATAAAATAAAATTCTCACGACGTTTCGGCCACAACACAAGCAGCCGTCCTCAGGTGAAGACAGAGCTGTCTGAAAGACAGAATTGTGTTGTGGCCGAAACGTCTTGAGAATTTTATTTTATTATTATTTATTTGTATTATTTTATTATTTCCCTTCTACGTGACTTTACCGAAAGAACCAAGAAGATTATGCACGCAATTGACTGGAATTGTAACTTGACTTAAAAGTCTATGCAATCCGCCGCTAGATGAAGACCTTCCCACACTGTCGGTCTTTGGAGTTACTTGACCATTCTTCACCATGCTGGTCAGCATGGGTGGTGAAGAAAGAGGGGAATCCAAGACAAATACAAGTTTTCTTGGTTCTTTCGGTAAAGTCACGTAGAAGGGAAATAATAAAATAATAAAAATAAAACATAATGTTACTTATTTTATTATTTGTATGTAATTTTTATTATTTTATTATTTCCCTTCTACGTGACTTTACCGAAAGAACCAAGAAGATGAATCCCTGCAGTCACGAAAGCTTTAAATCGAAACAAATACAGTTGTTACCTCTCGCCACTGATGTTAACCAGGAATCAAACTCAGGTATCCACAAGCACTTGATAAGAACACCGAACAATCGAGGATTAGGAGTTAAAATTTACACACTGTATCATTATTTTTTTACATTTGCATGAAGACATTCACATAAAACCTCTTACCAAATGTTGGTGGATAGGCAGCCATGGATGGAGCCCCATAGTTGTAGCCTTGCCTAAAAAAAGACACAGCCCAAAAATAAACAGCTGAGATTGAAGACTTGCTAATCTGTTGCATACCAACTGACAACTGATCGACATTTCAACATCCCAGTCTATGCTTTTCAGTTTAACACGTAGGCTTTCACGACAAATATCCATAACAAAGGTTTTTTGTGGTTAGATCACGCAAATAAAATGTGCTTTTCCATTCGAATTGGTAACGTTCCATCATGTAATTCTCTCACCTTCTTTGTAAAGATCACTTATGTCTGGTGCCGATTTACAGCAGTGCAGTACTTAGAACTGTGCATTGAATGAAGAGTCATTGTTTAAGTGACTTTGTAAAATTACCTTCTAAGAGGGACTATTTTATGCAGTATATACTCTTAAGCCAATGTTGTAAAGTAGGACGACCTGAAAATGTGGATTGTGAAATTGTACGCCTACATAACAGCAATAATGTAATATGCATACAGTTAACTGGATTTACAACTGTGAGTTTAATGGAATTACCACAGATATTTGGTGGTCAATACAACAATTGCGCAACCCTCATCTACAACCTACATGACACACACCAGCACATTTTGCCAGGTTAGGATAAAACGGGTTCTAGAGCAAACACTTAATTTACCATAAAGGTGGACAGCTTTGGATGTTTCACAAGAACGTATGTGCAATCCATACCACACAAGCTCACTCCTGCATTGGAATTTCCCAAACACGATTCACATTTCTCCATCCACAGACCTGGCATACCTTTGTGGCATTATCCCAGATTATATAAGATATTACGTATTACATAGCACTAATTTATGATGTAAATGTGTGTTTATGCAATACACCAGGAATAGGCAAAAATTACAAGATCTAAATACAGTGAATTATTAAGTTGATACTGCACATTCATTCTTAAACACTTAACACCCGAGATGATCCAACATTTCATGTCTCCAATGAGAGCTAAATTGAACAACTTTTTGTAATGTATGTTACACATGGCGCCAGATGGGCCTATGGACCTGCCACACTTATTTGAGATGCACTGCCCTTGGAAAGGATATACAGCGCAAGCAAGGCATGTCGAAAACAAGTAGTGTGTTTACTCTGCTACATCAGCCGTGCGTTGTAAAATCTATCCATGCCAAAAGTGCTAGACTTTGGACCAGTTAATAATGTATGTACAATTTTGCAATTACCAAGCCGATTCACATATATACGTGCATTGGAGATTGTTGCTTTTTATCCACCAACTATCGTGGTTTTTCATGACTGTGCCAGGCTTTCTGAATTTGGGGCATTGGTTTTATCATAAGGA